CCCTTTCTTTTAGGGGGCCTTTTGAAGCCTTTTGAAGGCTTAATTGGCTCTTGGGGTCTCTCGGGGCCTTGTTCGGACCTTCGGCGTGTCAGGGGCCGTAGAGGCTTTATTCATTTGAAGGTCAGGAAACCTATTAGTTTTTTTTCGCCAATGAGTATTTCAATCGCTAGGGTTTAAGCTGGGGTTCGGGGTAGCCTCGGCCCTTTTCGGGCCTTCGGCAAGTTAGGGCCCGTAGAGGCCCTTATTTGCTTGAAGGCCTTCGCAGAGTTTTGCGGTGTTAGGGTTTAAGCTGGGGTTCGGGGTAGCCTCGGCCCTTTTCGGGCCTTCGGCACGTTAGGGCCCGTAGAGGCCCTTATTTGCTTGAAGGCCGTCGCAGGGTTTTGCGGTGTTAGGGTTTAAGCTGGGGTTCGGGGTAGCCTCGGCCCTTTTCGGGCCTTCGGCACGTCAGGGCCCGTAGAGGCCCTTGCTGATTTGGGGGCTTCCTGCAGCTTTCCTGGTCCTTTTGGGGTGAAATGGCGGGGTGCCCAAAGCCATCGATTTCAGTACTAAAAAAGAACATTTTTCATTGCGGGCAGGGGTGCCTCAAACCATCGTTTTCAATATTCAAAAATCGCATTTTTCATTGTGGGCACGGACAAATATTGTGGTCCCCCTTCTTCTAGTGGGCCTTTTGAAGCTTTTGAAGCCTTTGGCTCTCTGGGCTTTCCTGCCGCTTCTTGTGTGAAATGGAGGGGTGCGCAAAACCATTGATTTTCCGGGTGGGGCCCTGGGCCCGGAAAGCCCGGGGCCCTTAAACCGGGCGCCCTTGGCGGGGGGGTTGGGGGGACGGGGCCCCCGGAAGGGGGTCCCGGCAAACCCTGAACCCAAACCCTGAACCACCTCCAAAGGCAAATGGGTGCCGGCCATCCCTTAGCCGAGTACTGACGTTGTCGTAAGAAAGGCGGATGTCCGTTGGCCTGTCCAGGACAGACGGTGAGGCTTAACCCTCACCTTTCCGTTTCTCTTTTCGCGGGCTGTAAGGGCCTCGGCCGAGCGTGTTTAGGGTTTGGGATTTCACATCCTTTGATCAGGCACACCCCCCCCCCCTCCCCCCCCCCCCTCCCCACCCCCCCCCCCGTCCCCCTTCCCCTTTCCCCCCCCCCCCTCCTCCCGCCCCCCTCCCCACCCCCCCCCCCCCCCCCGTCCCCCTTCCCTTCCCCCCTCCCCTCCCCCCCCCCCTCCCCCCCCCTCCCCTCCCGCCCCCTCCCCCCTCCCCCCACCCCACTACCCCCCCCCCCCCCCCCAAAAAAAAAAAAAAACTTTCGGATTCAGGTGTGTTTGCTTTTGAGGGCTTAGGGTGTTTTTTTCGTTCAACTAGTGGTTGTCTTTAGGCTAAACCCTAAACCCTAACCCCTAAACCCTAAACATTCCCTGGCCCGGGTGAGACGCAGCATGTCAAAGCAAGCTCTTGGAATCGGATTTAGGGGCTTTGGGGGGTTTAGGTTTTAGGTTTTAGGGTTTGCGGTTTTCGTTTTCTGTTTTTTTCTTACTATGTTTTGCTGTTTGCTTTTTTTGGAGGGGGGGGGAGCTCTCCAGGCTGGATTTTCAGGTCTGGGTGCGGCAAAAATTATTGATTGCCAAGCCTGGTCTATAGAGTCGTGGGGGTCTCGGTTTTAGGTTTAGGACTCAGGGTTATAGGGTTTAGGCGGTTTAGGGTTTAGGGTTTAGGGTTTAGGGTTTAGGGTTTAGGGTTTAGGGTTTAGGGTTTAGCGTTCGGGTGTAGGGCTGAGGGTCAGAGGATCTGCAGCTTCAAGGTTCGGATTTCAGGCTTATTAGGGTTTTTCAAGGGTACTTCTGACTGGCATCCTTTGACACCACACACCCGAAACCCTAAACCCCAAACCCTAAACCCGAAACCCTAAACCCTAAACCCCAAACCCTAAACCCTAAACCCTAAACCCTAAACCCGAAACCCTAAACCCTAAACCCTAAACGCTAAGCCCATTCCTCATGGACAGCGCCCAAAAGCGCAGGCTTGCTCTGACGGACGACTTAAGCTGCTTTGAAGAGCTAGAAAGGGCCTACAAACCTTAAATAAGCCCTCAAGGCAAAGGCAGCTTCTTCTATGAGTGACACGTATTCTGAAACGTGGCGCGAGCTGGGGTCGACAAGCCCTCAACCCGAAACCCTAAACCCGAAACCCTAAACCCTAGCCCTAAACCCTAAATCCTAAACCCTGGACCCTGAACCATGAAACCTAAACTCGAAGCTCTGTAAAGCCCAACACCCCAGCGTGCGAGCTCTCGCTGAACCCTAAACCCTGAACCCTAAACCCAAAGCCCTGTACCATATAAATCCTGAAGCTTAAACGCTGTGCCATACGAACCCTAAACCCTAACCCTAACACCATAAACTCGAGTGCACCTTGGAGGCCGTCATTACGGGCTTCTGGTAGAAGGGCTTATGGTATTCACAATGGGGTGTAGGGTTTTAGGGTTATAGGGTTTTAAGGTTTCAGGGTTGAGGGTTTATAGGGTTTATAGGGATTATAGGGTTTAAAGGGTTTAAAGGGTTTATAGGGTTTGTAGGGTGTATAGGGTGTATAGGGTGCATAGGGTTTACAATGTTCATACGGTTTATAGGGCTTAGGGTCAGAGAGTGTCGGGCTTATCAGGTCTCGAAAGCAGTTGAAGCCCGGAACCCGAATTCCTAAACCTAAACCCTAAACCCTAACAATTCTACCATTGAAGCCCTCCCCCGCCGGTCGCGGCTCGCACCCCACGCGCTGCCACGTGAGCCAAGATGTACAGGTTGCTCTTGCGGGGTTTAGGGTTTAGGGTTTCGGGTTAAGGGTTTAGGGTTGAATCTGAAGCAAGCTAGCCGTTTAGCTGCTTGGGAGCCTCAGGCGCGAACCTGTGCACCAGCACCAACGCAGCGGACCTCAGCATTTTCGCTCCCTGCCCTCACGGAGGCCACGAAATCCTGGCCAAGGGAGAGGGTTTAGGGTTTAGGGTCTAGGGTCTAGGGTTTAGGGCTTAGAGTTTAGGGGAGCCCCACTGAGAACCGGTTAGTAAGGTGAGTAAATCGGGATTATCATGGGGGTTTTAGGGGCTACTAAACCCTAAACCCTAAACCCGAAACCCTAAACCCTAAACCCTGAACCCTAAACCCTGAACCCTAAACCCTCAAAAGAGCTTCTAAGCAGGGTTGAACATTTCAGGCTTTTGAGGCGTAGGGTTTGAGGGATAACTTGGGTTTAGGATCGACCTGCGAGTCCCCCTACATATCCTAAACCCTGGGTAGGGTTTAGGGTTTAGGGTTTAGGGTTTAGGGTTTAGGGTTTAGGGTTTAGGGTTTAGGGTTTAGGGTTTAGGGTTTAGGGTTTAGGGTTTAGGGTTTAGGGTTTAGGGTTTAGGGTTTAGGGTTTAGGGTTTTAGGTTTAGGGTTTTGGGTTTAGGGTTTAGGGTTTAGGGTTTAGGGTTTAGGGTTTAGGGTTTAGGGTTTAGGGTTTAGGGTTTAGGGTTTAGGGTTTAGGGTTTAGGGTTTAGGGTTTAGGGTTTAATTAGGGTTTAGGGTTTAGGCTTAGGGTTCAGGGTTTAGGGTTTAGGGTTTAGGGTTTAGGGGCCCTGACACAGGGTCCAATACTTGGGAGAACCCGGAACGCTTGGGTTGCCTGGATCTTAGGATGCTTGCGTGGTACACTTTCGTCACCACTTGCTTGAGTCACTGGATACAAGTGGCGTAGAAGGTTCGGCAGGCAGAGGTTTCATCTATAGGATCCGCTCCCATCCCCTCCCTAAGCTCCCACAACCCGCAAAGTACCTTCTCAACAAGGCGGGAGGATTGGGTTTAGGTTGAGGGTTTAGGGGTTTAGGTTCAAGGGTAGTGTAGGGGCTATCCTGTGAATCAATGGTTTGGGCACAGGGATGCATTTGGAGGCCTTCGGTTTCTCAGGCAGCAGCATCTCTGAACCACGTCCGGGTTCTTAGGGTTTAGGGTTTAGGGTTTAGGGTTTAGAGTTTAGGGTTTAGGGTTTCGGGTAGTGTTCAGCATCTCAAGTCACTCAAGCCAAAGCACTCGCTGTAGGGCCCTTAACCCTGTCCGCGGGAGTGTTGCCAATGCACCATTCCCCACCCCGACCTTGACTCTTTGGCCAAATGCGCACGGAAACTTTGACCAATGCCCGCGGAATGTTCATCAATGCCCACGGGAATTTGACCAAAATGCCCCCGGAATCTTGACCAATGCGCACGGAAAACTTTGACTGGCCGGTTCTAGTAATTAGGGAGTGAAGGACCCTGTATCATCCTTTAAAGGGTATATGTATTTATATATACATATAGGGCCCTCATTCCCTCATTCCCTACTATAGAAACCAGGGGGTTGATCAATGCCCACGGACTTGTGTCCAATGCCCGCGGAGTGTGTACCGAATATAGGGTCCTGAATAATTAGAATAAGGTGTTTTGGGTGGCTATTGTAGTATAATTACAAAGGGACCCTATAAGGGAATACTATTAGTCATTCTTCCGACTCCTAGAGTACTGCCTTTGGGCAATGCCCCGCGAATTCTTGGGCAATCAAGGGGCAATGCCCGCGGCAACGCCCGATCATGGGTAAAGGCTTGAAGATAAAACAAAACTTTGTGTTTTTGTATACATATATGTATATGTATATGTGTATGTATATATATATATATATGTGTGTGTGTGTGTGTGAAGGCGAGGTTGAGGTTTAGGCTTTAGGGTTTAGGGTTCAGGGTCGCGCTTAGAAGCTTAGTAGCCCAGTAACCATCTTGCAATAAGGGCACCCTTTTTTGGTTGGCTACTTTATAAGGGGAACCCAGAACCAAAAATAAAGGGTCAAGGGTACCACTGGGCTACTAAAACCCTAAACCCTAAACCCTAAACCCTAAACCCGAAACCCGAAACCCGAAACCCTAAACCCTAAACTGTAAGGGTACCACTGGGCTACCAAGGAAGGCTCTACAAACTCTGCAGTTGAAGTCCTGGTCGTTCGCCTCACAGCCTGAGCGCAAAGCAAGAAGCACTTGGCGCTTAGGGTTTAGGGTTTAGGGTTTAGGGTTTAGGGTTCAGGGTTGAGGGTTCCGTTGCAATTGGGGAGTGGCCCTAAACCCTAAACTAGGCCCCAACCACTAGATTAGGGCTTAGAGCCCCCACCCGCCCCGAACAACAAAAAGTTGAGCTAATGAAAAGCCTTGCTCAGCTCTCTTCAAATCCGGCGGCTGTTTCAGGGCAAGTCGACAAGAATCCTGAAATGAGGAGGGTGTGGGGTGGCAGGTGGGGGGAGTGTCCTCAGGGGAACCTCTCAGTCACAACCCCAAACCCCAAAACCCCCAAATCGCAAACCCCCAAACCAAACCCTCAAACCTCAACCCTCCGCCCCTACCCCCTACACCCTCAACCCTCAACCCTCAACCCTAAACCCAAGTCAAGGCCATCTCCCAAGACCAGACTGGGGAGGCCGCAAGGTGCAAAAACACTGGGACGCTTCACCACTCACCGCCTGGAGAGGGCCGGGGGGGTTTAGGTTTTAGGGTTTAGGATTAAGGGTTTAGGGTTTGGGGTTTAGGGTTTGGGGTTTAGGGTTGAGGGTTTAGGGTTTGGGGTTTAGGGATTAGGGTTTGGGGTTCGGGGTTCTTTTGTTTGGGGTTTAGGGTTCAGGGTCAAGGGTTTAGGGTTTCGGGTGTAGGGCTTAGGGTTTAGAAGTCGCCAAAGGGTTGAGGGTCTAGGCTTCGGGGTTGCTTTAGGGGGTTCTGAGATTTCGGGCTTAGGGTTTGGGCTCGGGTCAGGGACTGGGGCTTTAGGTGTTGGGCTTTAGGGTACTGGGGGGGGGGGGAATTGAGGCTCCCGTAAATTGGGTTTGTAAGGCTATATAAGGATTTTTTTTTTTTTGCTATGGCCCTGCGCGCCAGTCCGCGCGCTTTGGCGTCTTCCCGAGTTGGGGGTTTCTCAGCTCCTTGTGTATTTGGGCGTACTTATAATGAGGTCCTAGGGCGGGGTGGTCGGGGGAGTTGCAAATGTGAGGAAAGTACTGGCGAGAGACCACTTCAACCCAGTAGGGAAATTGCATACCCCGCCGACGTCCCTGGCTGAGAATCCGATCCTTGTGAGCCGAACCGAAGACTACAGAGTGATATACCTCCTTTCTAGGGGCCAAGAATACCTCCCTCATCATTTTATATTGCATGTCCGAGAGCAGGTGGGATGGAAGGCGTGGTCTGTGTGCCTGTTCATAGACCTCTACGTTGGGGATTCTGGAGTAATAGGAGGCCTTAATTCGCACTACTCTTCTAAGGAAACGAATGTAAAATGCATCTATTCTTTTGAGGTGCGGTGTGGTTAGGGTAAGTGCGTCTAGACCGTAAGTTAGAACGGGAAGAAAGGTGGCCTGGAAGATTTTGAGACGCTCTTTGAGGCAGAGTGTGCTATTCCATATAAGTCTTAGTTTTTTGAATGCCTCTTCAGCTAGAGCTGCCCGGTGATAAAAAGCTGTCTCGAAAGGCTTGGCCCAGGAGATCATGCTACCCAAGTACTTGACCACAGTTTTTGTGGGGACGCTTGACCCATCCTTAAATCGCAGCGCAGGCTCGGAGTAGTTGGGGCGTACCAGGAGCTCCGTTTTAATTTTATTTAGGGACATACCATATTCCGCTGCAAGCTCCTCCAGGGCGCTTAGAATGCTTTGGAGTTGCGGTGTGGTCAGAGCAAGGAGTAGCGTGTCATCTGCGTATTCCATATCTGCCACCGGGAACCCCTCTGACCATGTGTTGGTCGGGACCCCTCTTTGTTGCAATTCCCCGTCCAGGTCCTCGAAGATCACAGTTAGCACAATAAGGAAAAGGTAGGGGCTGAGCGGACATCCTTGTCTAATTCCAGCCTTAACTTGTCCTACGGCGGTGTGGTCAAGACCTACTGTTTGGAACGTTGGATTAGCATAGATAGATTTTATGTTGTCCAACATCTTATGTGAAAGTCCAAAGCGCTGCAACGCTTGTAGCATAGCGGTGTGGTCCAAGGAGTCAAAGGCCTGTTTCCAGTCTAGAAATAGTAATTGTAGGTTTCTGTTAGTCATGGTCGACCACTCCATAGCCCTTCTGACCACGAACAGGGGGTGACGTGTACCCCTTCCAGCCCTGAAACCAAACTGCTGTGGACGAAGTCTTTCATCAAATGCGCTAGCCAGCCTAGCTTGGAGCACTGCAGCATACACCTTGTAGGTAACGTTAAGTAAGGAAATGGGGCGGTATGATGCCGGGTCCGAGTCATCCCCCTTTCCCTTGTAAATAGAAACTATTGTTGCGTGAGACCAATCTGGCGGTGTGGTCCTGTTGTTCCAAACTTCGTTATAAAACTCCAACAGGCGCCTTTCGCCCTCCGCGTCCAAAAGCTGAAGGATTTCGTTAACTATACCATCGGGGCCCGGCGCTTTCCCCTTTTTGGTTTTACCCAAGGCATCCAACAATTCGCCGCGGGTAAACAAGGGCTCATCCGGCGCTGGCTGACGGAGGGGTAATCTCGTGGAGCGTTTCTGTGCGGAGTGGTCCGGGATGTGTGGTTGTCCCCACTGTGTGTCCTGTAGATGATTTCGGAAAGCAACATGGGTTGACGTCCATGGTACTGGCTTACCCTCTACTATAAGCTGAGTACGGCGGCCTTGAAAACCTTTACGCTGACGTCTAACCGTGTTCCACACTGGCGATGTGGTCCCTGCCGGATCAGCCAGCAGTTGCTCATGAACCCAATGGACCCTATCTTTACGCGCTAATCTTTTAGCCTGGTTGCGCAACTTTTTCCAGTCCTCCGACTGTTCAGCTTGAGCAACACGGGCCTGTGCCAGGGCCCTCAGCGTGGCTTCACGAATCCAGGGTTTGGCAATGGTGCGCTGTTGCAGGGGGAAGCGTTGCTGGCGCGTTGAGGAAATCGGTGAGCGAGCCGTGCATGGTGGGGGGCGTGGTCTGTGAGGCGTGCGTTGCTATTGGTTGTCTCCTGCCTCCCTTATACTCTTTGCTATCCCTACCCTGTGCTGCCAAGCCATCTGCTATGCAGTTGTAGTAGTGACCTGCATGACCCTTAACCCACTGAAAACTTGTTTTGATCCCTGCTTCGTAGGCTAGCGTCTGCGCCAAGAGCACCAGGTCTTTGTTGGTTTTAGGGCGCCACTTACCTGTGATCATGTTAAGGGACCATTGGCTGTCTGTGTAAATGACCACTTCCCTGTACTCCAGCTCATGTGCGTATAGCAGTGCCTCTATGATGGCAGTAAGCTCGCCTGTATTATTGGATCCTACTCTAGCGCCGATGTATTTAACGTGTCGCTGGTCGGTACAAACCGGGCCGGAGGCCGTAAGATCTGGCGGTGTGGTCCCGTCCCCGTTTGGGGAGAGGCGTGCGCACCAACCCCAACCTGCTGGTGTGGTACCCGTGGCTTTCCCTTTGGTGCCTGCTCCATCTGTGTAGAACCAAATGGACGGGCTATGTATGCTTGTTTCAGCGGGGTGGTCTTGGGGGGCGACTGTTGTTGAAAGAGAAGCTCGGATTGTACGGTTGAATGCATCGCGAACTGTTTGTGTGACCTGCGCAAAGTCGAATTTGGCGCGATACTTGGAGCGCTGTTTTCGTTGCGCAAGTTTGATCTGGACCTCAGTTACCAAGAGGTAGTGGTCCGATGGGTACCCTGTGTGTAGCTTTGACCTACAGGAGTTAACCGACGACAACCACTGGGATCGAACGAAGGTGTGGTCCAATCGTTGAAACCTAGTCGGGTCCGGCGAAGGTGTTGAGCTGGGGGGCGGTAAGGGTTGATCCAGTGGAAGAAACGCACGGATGTGTGAGGCCAAGGACAATGCCTGTGATCCGAATTGCTTGAGTGTTACGTCGTAAAACTGCTGCATTATGAGCGGATCTAGGGCCAGTTGGCTCCAATCTGCCGGAGGGGCCGTTTTGTCACGGAAAGTGATCTGGTGTATCGGATTGGGTGACTTGTAGGAACCCGCCTCAACCATGCCTAACTGCTGCATTGCTTTAACACACAAGCTTCTGTTGGAAGTAGCGGAGTGGTCAATGTAGCTCCTACCCTTACCATATGTGAATGGTCCAGTGACCCCTTCATCGTTCGAGTGTTGGGCCTGAAATCGTACATTGAAATCTCCTGTGACAATGACTGGTTCAGGGTGTGGGATTTTGGAAAGATACTCCTCTAGCGTATCCCAAAATGGCGTCGTGGTCCAACCCAGAGTGAGGTGCATACACTCCCACTATGTGGATTCGTCCACCCTTTTTATTCAAAGTAAGATGTATGATTCGGTTAGAAACCTGCACAACATCTGCTAGGTGTGGTCGGATCCTAGGGTGGATGATGGCTCCAATGCCTGCAAACCTATCCTTATGATAACCTGACTGCACAACTAGGTGGCCCTCGGAAGTGTATGAGTAGTAGGATGGAGACTTTGTTTCACTAAGAATGAGAATACCTAGACTGTGCTCTTGCATCATTTGGATGAGGTTCTTTAACTTCAGGGTGTCAGCTAGTCCCTGGACATTTTGGGCACCTACCCTAAGCTTATGGTTATAAGCCAAAGGCGGTGTGGTCTGTAGTCTGTCTCTGGTCGGCTTTGTCTTTCGCTGTATGGCATTCTGCCATTCTATGCTGTCGCGAAAGATCTTTGTCTTGTTGTGGGAGACTTTTTTGGACTTCGGGGGGGAGGTTAGTGGGGAGTCCGCCCCCTCTAACCCCAGCTGTTTGCACTCTCGGCACCAGGATCTGTATGCTCTACGACAGAGCCTCCTTCTCCTGGTCCCCTGCCTAGAGGTATGGTCCCTCCCCGCTTTTGGGGAACTCGCTTCGTTCGCCCTAAAAGGGCTCCCGGTGTGCCTCATGGAGGCGGAGTCGGCGGCTGAACCGGCTGGTTTTAAATTCTTCCTAATTCGTGAATTCCTAGACCCCCCCTTCAGGGTACGGACTGATGGCTTGTAGTTTACAAAATGTCCTTGAGGGTGAAGAAACCGAATTCTTTTACCGGAGCGAGAGGATCGATGTTTGTGGGGGAGGACGGGGTCTATGCGCGGTGTGGTCTTAATACTTAGAACAGAAACCGGCTGCGAGTTGTGGTCCAAGGTAAGCAAACCAGACCTAAATTTGAGCAATTGAGCTATATCGTATCTGGGTGGGGGTGGGAGTTCAGGTACAAAATATTCAAGGAGTAAAACTGTCCTAAAAGGATGAACAGTAGTGTTGCCATTCAGGGAGTGCATTAATCTATTTCTGGCGCTTTGTGAAACAGCATCCACTGTTTGGGCTCTTGGGGGTGTGGTCTGTGCTGAGAAACCCCTTCTGTACACGCAAAACCGAAGCTCAAACGCGGTATGGTCCGAGAAGGACGTCTCACCTTCAGAAAGTTTCAAATGGTGTGAGTGCTCCCTCTGCCTTGGACTGGGTTGGCTGCACCAATGACATAACCCCGAACTAAAGACTACAGGCACCCTTGTGTGCTGCGGAGCAGACACACCAGGGGCTTGCACCCTGGTGTGCTGCGGAGCAGACACACCAGGGGCTTCAAACTGTGCTGTGGTTCGGGGATCAGTCACAGAAAGACAAGCAACCATAACACTGAGAGTGTTGGTCATCCCCGTGCACCAGTTAAAACTTCAGGAGCCTTTGGCTCCCTTGCCCCCTGCTGTTGGGGGCTTGGGGGCTGAAGCCTTGGAATATGGCATCTGGGACTGTGAGGGCGTGGTGGTCCCATGCATCTCTTCGTCGCCATCGTTGGGAAGCAGGGGTTTGCCCTGGTAAGTGCAGGCACGAATGTCTCCCACACACTCACCCGGCTGTCCACTTTTCGTACAAAATTCGTCCCAGATGTAGGCTACAGCCTCCACCTGAGCAATTTCAAGCTCAAATGGAAACGGACTGAAATGCGAATTGTGCAACAGCATGTTGGACCAATGGCGACGACCACCTCCATACTGGGTGCCCTTCCCAGAGCCTTTGCCCTGCTGCTTGGCAGCCTGGTAGGCGGCTTGGTCCATCTGATCCATGGTCAGCTGTGTGCCCCAAATAATCTCATTCCACTTTTCCGACCAGAGGGATTCTTCCTTGGCGGAGTGGTCAACAGGCCCACTCATCATGATGCGCAGCAGGTCTGGGCATACCTCCAGCCTGCCCTTGAAGGAGCCATTGCTCTCCTCATAAAACAGTCTCCCCCAGGCCACGGCGTCGTGGTCGAAGTCCGGGGTCTCTGTAGGGGCCATAAGAGTGAGGGATTTCCACAAGATTGTGAGACGCTTGTCCGCACAATCTGGGCGGGAATTACAAACTGCAATCAGAACACGCAGGGGAGCCTCCAACTTACGCTGCCATTGGGGAGCACAGGGACTGACCCTGATATGCTTCCCCACCTGCGGAGTGGTCGGAGCACTGTACAGAGGAGTACCGCTCGATCCCCCATATCTGCTCAGGAAAGCGCTCCTCAGATCCCACGCTTTAAATGTCAGCATAGTCATGGTCGAGTAGAATCCCTGTCCTTGCGGGACCGTGGTCGGGTCAATGGTGAGGATATTGAACCAGAATGCAGGCGGGAGTGCGGAGTGGTCCATGTCGTCTTTCAGGAGGCCTCTGTTCGTCAAGAAAGCCCTCGCCTCCGGCAGCTGCGAAATCATCCAGCCCAACATATACTGGCGCTGTTCGGGTGACAACCCCGACGGCCAGCCTGTGGTAATGAGCATGAGCCCACTTTGGTGCCGCTGCTCGCTGCTGGGAGCGGTTCTCACTTGCCATGAACCTCAGCTCGGACTGTGCGCTGAAGAGGCGGTCGTTAACAACCTTGAGGGCGTTCTCCATCTGGACGACGGCCCCATAGAGCTCCGGACGAATGATGGCCTCGTGATATCCCTTGACCAGACGTAGCACGTCGCGAGCAGTGGCTACTTTGGAGTTCAGGAACGACTCGACCGCGTGCGGGTTGTTGATGTCGTGTCCCAACCTGCTTGCTGTCAGCTGATACGCTGCCTGATCGTCGAGGTGCGGTGTGGTCACAACTAGGCCTGTTGTGCCCGTGGTCGAGCTCGCGCCGCCGGATCCGGTTTCCGCCGCTTGGTCAACTTCTGCCTCGAGCGGAGTGGTCCTGGTTGATGCTATTGGGGTCGGTGCGCTGCGTTTGCGGCTGCTATGCTCATCGAAGAACAGTCTTGTGTTGGCCGCAAAAACTGGTCGTTGGTCCACTGAAGCCCTAAACTCTTCCAGGGTGTTTGCTGGTGGCAACGACATGGCGGATTTGGCAAAATGCCTGAGTGAAAGAAGTTACACTCGCCCTTGGCGGAGTGGTATCTGTACAACTATCGAAAGAACTTGCACTTGCTGACGTGCTGGCCGGGGCAGATACACCTCTATATAGGGATTAGGCCCCATACAAACTTAAGATCTATTTTTGGGTCGAAAGGGGTGAGAGGTTGAGGGGTTTGGGGGGTTGAGAGTCTGGGTGTGGGGGTGTGGGGCTTGGGGTTGTGTGGGTTGTAGGGTCTGGGGTTTAGGGCTTACAGGTTTGGGCTTGTTTGCCCTAAAGCCCTGAAACCCCAAACCCTTTTTGGGGTTCAGGGTTTGAGGTCCAGAGTTCAGTTGGGGTTTTAGGGGCTTGGGGGTTCGGGTTTGGGGTACTTGTTCTACCTTGGGCCTTTTTGTTGGTACACCCAAACCCCAGGCTCCTGGTTCTGTGTACGGTCGTGCGCTGAGGGCTTTAGGGTTTCTAGCGTTTAGGGCTCTAGGGTTTTATAGGGTTAAGGGGTTTGGGTTTAGGGGGCCTAAACCCTAAACCCTAAATCCTAAACCCCTCAACCTCAGCACCTTCCCTCGCACTCTCTGTAAGGGAGCTTCTTGCGGGAGCAACCCGAATCTTCGGGTAGTTGAATGGTTGCTTAGTATGGGCCCTTAAATGGGGGCCATTAGGGCTTAGGGTTTAGGGCTTAACAGCCCTGAAAAGGCGACCCCTTCTTTACCCCTTGTAATCCCCTATAAGACCCAAGGGCCCTTACTTCAAAACCCTTTGAAGAAGGTAAGGGGCCATAATGATCCGTTCCGTGCGAAAACCTGGACAAGCTGTTTCGATTAGATTTTTAGTACGAATGTAGTTCTTTCTTGTTTTCCTATCGGTCTCCTACCCTAAACCCTAAACCCTAAACCCTAAACCCTAAACCCTAAACCCTAAACCCTAAACCCTAAACCCTAAACCCTAAACCCTAAACCCACGTCTCCAAAATGAGCTGAACAAAGTACTCCATAAACGCGCTGCCAGTCCCAAGCCGTAGATTAAACTTGCAGTTGTCAGACTCTCACGCCTCAAACTCAAGCGATCTATGCGACGATCCACGTAGCGATATAACAACTACTCAGTCCCCAAAACGGAAAAAACTACGTTCGGGGCCCCAATAGGAAAACACAAGCTCCAACACGCCCCAGTTGGGGTTTCGGGTTTAGGGTTTAGGGTTTTCAATCTCAACCCCTAAACCCTATAAACCCTAGACCCTACACCCTAAACCCGAAGCCCTAACCCCCCACCCCCCCCGGGCCCCCCGGCGGCCTCTTTGCTCTGTCCGTTTGCGGCGCCGGATCCACCCTTCAGGACGGCGGCTACGTGCACGGGCCTCGGGGGAGGGCTCTTGGGATGGCTTGTGGGTGCCAGGGCTGAGGGCTTGGGGTTTAGGGTGTACGGTTTAGGGTTTAGGGTTGGGGGTTTAGGGTTTAGGGTTTAGGGTTTAGGATTTAGGGTTGGGGGTTTAGGGTTTAGGGTTTAGGGTTTAGGGCTTGGGCTTTAGGGTTTAGGAGGTTTCTTGAAAAAGAGCTTGGGCAGAGCCAGGTGGGGTATGTAAACCCTGAACCCTGAACCCTGAACCCTGAACCCTGAACCCTGAACCCTGAACCCTGAACCCTAAACCAAATCCAGCCCAAGAATGCGTGGCTGAGCCTGGTACGTTGGCCCCTGGGACACCACCTTGGCGAGGCCACGGCTTTGGGTTTAGGGTTTAGGGTTTACGGTTTAGGGGTTGTAAGTAGCGCAAGTATAAAATCTCGTTGTCCGTGGTTCTAGCCTTGTTTTGGTACTTGCACTAGGAGCCTACATGTGGCTTCTTACTCATGCACCTTCAAGAACTCTCTTCCCTAAACCCTAAACCTATAAGCCCAAAACCCTGACCACAATAAAGCCTAAACCCTAAACCTACTCAGGGTGCGCCCCGTGGGCCCATGGATACATATGGGGAGGTCGATCTAAACGATGGGGATGGGGACCTTTTTTGGGGATCCCCTGTAAACCATGAGGAGCTTCAGGTCCATAAGTTGGGATGTTCCTGCCTTCTACTCTAATGGCGATTGCAATCAGGGGCACTGTACTCCATATTAAGGGAACATCCCAATCTATAAGGTTTAGGGCTTCGCAGCAAAGACCTCTGCCGGGCCAATGATGCAGAGGAGACTTGATATCGTGAAAGAAACGAACAGACGCAGCTCGTTTCGCTCGCACGCCACATGTGATATGGTGAGCGCCGAAGGTGTAGCATGACAACTAGCGAGCGGGTTTTTGAATGCACCAAAACTTGAGAAAACATTAGATATTCTGAAAACGCAAGAAAGGAACGCACGAAAATATGCCAAACTTCAGGGGATCTGTTGGGCTGGCTCTTATTATGAGTCACAGTAAGACCATGCGCTTCCTACATTCTGGCCCCTGTTTGGGTACCATTATAAGGCAGCAGCACCCTTTAAAGAAGGGATCCCACAAGGAAACCCTAGTTTAGAGAACTAAACCCTAAACCTGAACCCACTTTGGATACATGGACCCTAAACCCTAAACCCTAAACCCCTAGGGTACTGTATTATTCTGAATCTTAGACTTTTAGACCCGTAGCCTGAGACAGTGAGCCAAAGGAATTACACGGAGGGAAATGGCACATTAAATCGACCCCAAATAGTAGGATCCCCTTATAATCAGGACCCCAAGAAGGTACCCCCTAAACCCTAAACCCTAAACCCTAAACCCTAAACCCTAAACCCTAAACCCTAAACCCTAAAAACCCTAAACCCCAATTTGGGAAGCCCCAATAAGGTACCCCCGACTTTAGTAAGCCCCCGCATAAAAATTCTTGAGGGAACGCCTCGATCTGGAGCGGGAACCAGGGAGGTGAACAAAGGCCCCGTGTAGGGTGTAGGGTGCAGGGTGCAGGGTGCAGGGTGCAGGGTGCAGGGTTTAGGGTTTAGGGTTTAGGGTTTAGGGTTTAGGGTTTAGGATTTCGGGCAGACCCTGGGCAGTCATTTCACAATGCAGCACTGTGCAAGGGCATGTCAGATGTGGCCCACATACAGTGTCCATCCTCCCATCTCCTTCTCGTTCATACTCAATGCTTGTTGGGCATCCTCTTCTGTATTGAAAATGACCACCGCGTATTCAGGAGACTTCTGAGTGTGGTCTAAGCCGCGGTTCACCCAGCGCGGGCGCACGCCGTACTCCTCGAACAAGTTCCTGATGGTCTCGAACGTCGCGACCGTGGGCACCTTAGTCAGCAGCAACGAGCGCTTGTCTAGATTCACGACGAGTTGGCGCTCGACTGTGTCGCCTTTGAACGATCCTTGAATCGTGACGCCATCAAACTTCTCGGCGGCCTTCGTAGCTTCCGCCGGAGTGGACATGGTCACCGTAGCCCAGCCTCGCGACCTGCCGGAATACATCTCAACCTCGCTCCGGAGCACTGTGCCCACTTCTTCAAACATCACGCGGAGCTCCTCGCCCCTGGTGCTCCAGGGAAGGTTTCCCACATAAACGCTGCGAGATTCCGGGCTCCGCCCCAGTTCAGGTTCCTTGCTCGAGGGTCCCTCCATGGCGAAGAGGGGTCCACGTGCCCTGCTCACAGAGGCTGCCAGAAGCAAGACGCAGAGTCGGCCCAGAAGGGCCCCTGAGCCTCCAAGCGGCTTCGCGCGTCTCCTGCGCGGCGGAGGACACATCGATGCAGCAGCCATGGCAAGTGCTCACCGGGGTCAGGATACGAGTTACCAAAGCTGCTAGTTTGCTGTCCCTTTCTGGGGTAGCCTATAATCGTGACTGCAAAAGGGACCATAAACTTAGAGGAATGACCACATCGCCTCTGGGCCAGAGAGCCCGACAAGCAGATCTTCATATCTGCGGGTTTCGAGCTCTGGGTTTTAGGGGGCGGGCGTCTCACGGGCTTGCCAAGAAGAATTGCGGTGCACGCCTATTTTATGTGCGGAGGCCTTATGCAAATTCGCGCGCTTCACACAGCACCCGATAGACAAAAGTTAGACTAGCTATAGGGCTCAAGCCTGCAAGTGCTCTTCGTTTGTGGCAAAGGAGCACGACTTCTAGGCAACCATGATGCCCGCCCTTAAACCCTCCCTAAGTAATTCCAGGGCCGAGGGGACCCACGACCCGATGTGAGCTACAACATTAAAATATATAATCTGAATATCTCTACGTATGTTCAATTCTTGTTTTTACTATCATCAGTACTATTGCCGTTGTGATGGTTCTGTTAAGTTTCATATGATTGTTGATAAGACCGACTTTGCATATTCAACAGATGAAGGGCTCCGTCTATCTGCTATCCTCCCCTTAGACACTTAATTAAAAATTGATATGTTTAGTGTCCTCTTGGGGTTTATATAAACAAACACAAAAAAGTAAATCCCAAGGGGGATATAGTCTCCTAAACCCTAAACCCTAAACCCGAAACCCTCACTCAGCTACTAAGCCTATCTTAGTGGTTTGGGGATGGGACTGGAACGGCCAAGGAGCTGGAATCTTGATATCCTTTAGCAGTTTTGAGTCGTCCTCCTTGCGGAGAGCGGCCAAGGGCTTGGGGTTTAGGGTTTAGGGTTCAGGGTTTGGGGTTTAGGGTTTAGGGTTTTTTTTGGGTTTAGGGTTTAGGGTTCAGGGGTTAAGGGTTTAGGGTTTAAGATTTAGGGTTTAGGGTGCTGTGCCGGACGCCGTTCACTCGGGCACTGGCATGCCTCCCTCCCTGGTTTGCTGCAAACATCGAGGAGCTACGTTTGTACAGTGGAGTCAGAATCAAAAGGAGCACTGTCTTCATTCCCTCCCTCACTCCCTCCCTCTTTCTCCCTCTCTCACTCTCTCTCTTTCTTTCGTTTTTGTTCTTTCTTGCTCTCTCTATCTCTCTCTCTCTCTCTTTCTCTCTTTCTTTCTTTTTTTCATTTTTCTTTCTTGCTCTCTATCTCTCTCTCAGTCTCTCTCTCTCTCTCTCTCTCTCTCTCCCGAAACCCTAAACCCTAAACCCTAAACCCTAAACCCTATGGACATCTTGAGCTAAGCGACCTCTCGTACTTGCCACTCTTATAACCCGGCTGAAGGCGTCCTGAGCCCCAAAAAAAGTCACCCTAAGGTTTCATATTTCTTGCACCCCCAAAAGGACACCCAATATATACACTCACCAGGGTTAAAAGGGAGCCTGATATACACTCACCAATAACAGAAACATAAACCCTAAACCCTAAACCCTAAAACCTAAACCCTAAACCCTAAACCCTAAAGCCTGTTCCTAATATAACCTTCGACCTTAAAACGCGTTCCCATAAAGTGACCTCAGAGCGCCTCATCAACTCTAAGTCCTGACACCATAGATGGTCCGTTCTCAAAAAAAGGTCCCTGTTTGGGGACATTAGGGGCCGCCTCATAACAGTACCCCCAAAAGGGGTCCTATATAAACCCCAAACCCGAAACCCGAAACCCTAAACCCTAAACCCTAAACCCTATAGATAGGTACATGAGCCCACCTAGGGACTATAAAAGCCACGGTGAGGCCTTGCCGCCGATCTCGCGACCGCCCGCAAACAGCCGGAGCCTCAACGCTTCAGGGCGACAAACCCCGTTTGGCTTCGGGTTGAGGGTTTAGGAGGTTTACAGGCTCCTAAACCCTAAACCCTAAACCCTAAACCCTAAACCCTAAACCCTAAACCCTAAACCCTAAGACCCTATATCCTGAACCCTGATCCCTAAAAACCCCTACACCCTAAACCCCAATCCTTCGAGCCTAAATGCGGCCTCGACTCGACCGTGTCCCGCACGTACGGTCAAACCCTCAACTTGGTAGCCCAGGAACCATATTGCAATAAGGGCTTAGGGGGGTTTAGGGTTTAGGGTTTAGGGTTTAGGGTTCAGGGTTTAGGGTTACCATCTTGTATTAAGGGCACCCTTTTTTGGGTTGGCTACTTTGTAAGGGAAACTTGTGGAGGAGCCCGGTGTTGGTACCTGAGTCCTGGAGAAGGAATCCTGAACCCCGAAGCCCCAGGGTTTAGGGTTTAGGGTTTAGGGTTTAGGGTTTAGGGTTTAGAGTTTAGGGTTTGAGAAACGCCTGCCTAGTCGTTCCTGATCAGCCTTACCAGAGGGTTTAGGGTTTTAAGACTAGGGTTTAGGGTACACGTTGAGTATTTAGGGTTTAGGGTTATAAGTTTACGGAGTAGGGCTATGCGTTTCGTACTTAGGGGTTAAGGGTAGTTCGGGGTTTACGTTTAGTATTTGGGTTTACGTGTCAGAAGTGTAGGGCCCAGCGTAACACGTTCAATGTTTGTTTAGGGTTTAGCGGTCATGAACTTGGGGCTATAGGGTTATATGCTACAGTATTTAGGGTTTTCAGGGGTACAAGTTTAAGGTTTCGGGGTTGTTTCGCTATGTATTTTAGGTTTAGGGTTTAGGTTCACAGCCCTAAACCCTAAACCCTAAACCCTAAACCCCTATAATATTCCCTGATGCTGTGCCAATGTTTGTTCTCTGGTGAACCCCCGTCCAGACCCGGTTTAGGGTTTAGGGTAACCCCCCCCCCCCCCCCCCCCCCCCCCCCCCCCCCTCAAACCCCAAACCCCAGACCCAAGCCTTTCCACAGTATCCAGCGCGGGCTGAGAGGAGGGCCAAAATTCCTGGCGAATGGCGAGGCAAGCTAGTCGGGTGGTTGGCTTAGTGATTTTTTTTGCGGGCTTTACCCTAAACCTCAAACCCTAAACCCTAAACCCTAAACCTTAAACCCTAAGGAACCAGCTTTGTAGCCACTCAGGCAACCCGAAACCCTGAGGCCATCGAATAGCGGGCCATAGGATGCTTTGCACTGGTTCTTTTGTGCGGGTTTAGGGTTTAGGGTTTAGGTTCTTCTGTGCGGGTTTACCTTGGGGACGAAATGAAGCCTAAAACTGGGGTCATATACCCTATACTACTATAATTCCTATTAAGGTGTATGAACCCTAAACCCTTTTAGGGTTCATTTCGTCCCTACTGTAGGGTTTAGGGTCTAAATTCTCAGCTGTCTGGGGGCCTGAGATCCCAGAAAAGGGCTCAGACCTGCAGGTTAACACCCCTCCACCCCCAGCACCCAACAAAAAGGGTTTAGAGGCTTGGGGGTTAGGGGGTTAGGGTTTAGGGTTTAGGGTTTGGGGAAACCCTAACCCTCAACCCTCAAACCTAACCCTGAACCCGAAACCCTGGCCCTCTGCGCCCTACCCAGGGCCTAGGGTTTAGGATGACCATGCACCCCGACCCTGCAACTGTGGAACGCGTCACCTTGCTGGCCTTATAAACGCAAGCAAAAAAACTAGCCCTTATGAATGTAAACCCTATACCCTCACGCACACGCACACACACACATATGCAGCCACACACACATACACATACACACACACATACACATACCCATACACATACACATACGCACACATGACATACACATCATACATATACACACCCCCTCTCTCTCTCTCTCTGGCTCCCCCCTCTCTCTCTCTCTCTCTCGCTCCCTCTCCATGGCTTCTCAAACCCACACCACAAACCTCAACAGTTCCTGGACCCCATATACTGCAAACCCAAAACCCTACAACCCTAAAACCCTACAACCCCAAAGCCCAAGAGCCCTAAAACCCAAAAACCCAAAAAACCCTAAAACCCTAAAGCCCCAAAACCCCAAGACCCTTAAGTAAAGCCCTAAAACCCTACTAAACTCCCGATCTCCCTGGCTCCTGTAGAATCCGAAACCAATACCTAAACCCTCAACCCCTAAACTCTTAAAACCCCTGAACCCCTAAAGCCGAAAAAAACCCAAGACCCTGAACCCGAGGCTTTAAACTCTGAGGCCTAAAACCCTAAACCCTCAACCCTTTTTGCCGTAACACCCTGATTAAACCCTAAAAGCCCTAGGCCCTGCACTCTAAACCTAAACTCAACCCTAAACCCCGGCTCCTGTAGAATCCTTGCTTTCACCTCGCTGACCTTTGAGGCCAGGGCCTGAAAAAAGGGTGCTCACGCAGGGGGTCATCTACGAAGGGGGCTTTAGCATAGGCGTTTAGGGAACTCTAGAAGCCCTAAACCCTAAACCCTAAACCCTAAACCCAAAAACCCTAAACCCTAAGTTTCGGGTTTCGCCCTTAGGGGCCAAAGATTAGATCTTAGGGGGTGTTGGACAAAGCCTGGTCGCGGTTGCCCTGAGGCTCTACAGCTTAAAGGCACTTTGGGAGTTGCTTTTTTCATCTTGTTTATTGAGGGGGGGGGGGATGTGAGGGGGAGTCTACAGTAGAAGCCGAAAAGTTGGAAACTCAATAGCCTCAATCCTTAAGAGTAGAGTATAGGGAATCCCAGCACTATTTGTGCTTAAAAAGGTTTCCAACTTTTTGGGGTTTACTGTAAAGTCTAGGCTGGGCAAAGCCCGGGACGATAGACTCCGGCATCCTCAAGTTTTTTTGAGCGTCCCGGAGCGAGGGAAAGGCGTCTTCCAGGTTTTAAGGGATAGAAGGAGGGAACCCTAGAAAGGGCCCCTTATTCCCCTAGAAAACCCCTATATACATATATAGAAATACATACACCTTATACAGTCCCTGTATACCGAAGTAGCCCCACATTACCCCTAAAGTACCTGTTCTAACGGTCCCTTCCCTAAACCCTAAACCCTAAACCCTAAACCTTAAACCCTAAACCCTGTAGATCACTTGGAGGTTCTTGGCCGGTGGTCGGGGGCGAAGCCTGCTACCGAGCAGGATTGAGGTGCTTTTTCGGGAGGTTTTGGAGACAAGAAGGGTTTAGGGTTTAGGTTTAGGGTGAACACTAAACTGCAACAAACCCAAAACCCTAAACCCTAAAGCCTACCCAAAGGCTCCTAAGAAGGAAGTACATTAGAGCCTTCAGGTAAGCCCTACACCAGCCCACAAACAAAAGACCCTAAACTGGTAGATGCCCAGCGACGGGTCTGGACCGACATACAACTACAACAAAAACAGGTGTTAACCCCCCAACCCTAATCCCTGCGCCCAAAACCCTTACGCCCAAGACCCCTAGCCCCTAAACACTCAGCCCCTAAACCCTAAAAACCCCAACCCTTAACCCTAAACTCTAAACCCTTACCCCCCCCCCCCCCCCCCCCATGTGAAGCCGACGCCCTCGACTGGGGGCCCTGCCACCTCCATCTCGGCAGAGTTGACGTCATTCACGAAGACGAGTTTCAGACTAAGCTTTGCCTCCGCGAGTGGGAGGAGGTGGATAATAATTGGTTTAGGGTTTAGGGTTTGGGGTTTGGGGCAGCTCCAGCAGCGACGACTTTGACAGGACTTCAAGGCAGCTCGCGAGCACTAGCTCCCTAAACCCTAAACCCTAAATCGCCCCGTGGGTTCTTCCGTTCCGGCTCCCCCGTGAGCCCATGGCAATGAGGCCAGGCCACGTGAAGAAGAAGGTGGTTTAGGGTTTAGGGTTTAGGGTCGATGGGTTGAAGAAGATCTTCCAAGTACAGTTGCAAAGTGGCTTCGGGCTTAGGGTTTAGAAGTTAGCTACTATTTTCTTCAGAACCCCCGAAAAACAAAAGATGATCATCCCTATACATACATATACATACCCTCATACGGAAGAACATATTCGATTTGTTTTTTGGGTTTGGGGAGGGAGGGGGTCTTAAGCAAGTACTAGCATACGTCAGAGGGGAGGGGGGGGGGGGAGCGAATGCCGCGGACCAGTGTGCACCTTCGCAGATCACATTCCGATGTTGAGTTCTCTGAGCTTCCGAGATTCTGAAACCCTGAAGCCCAAACCAACCTTTTAGGATTCAGGGCGCTTAGGGCTTGGGGCTTAGGGTTTAGGGCTAGGGCTGAGGGCCTAGGCCTCAGGGCTTAAGGCAGTTAGGAAAGGGGCCAATCATTCGTTCTAAGTCCAGACCACCGGTGCTGGCTTTCCGGGACAACCCTGAAACCTAAACCCTAAAACCTAAGCCCTAAACCCTGAGCCCTAAACTCTGAGAAAGACCCCGAAAAGACTTCCGGGAACCAGTGGGAAAGAGTGACGTGGACTGGAACGAGAAGAAGTGACTCGCAATGATTCTGCTGAGACCACAGAAGACAGCGACGACACCTGTATCAAGGGTTGCCTTGGCCCCCAAGGAGGTGCAGGCCTAACCCCAAACCCTAAACCTCAGACCCTAAACCTCAAACCCTGAACCCCAAACCCTAAACCTCAAACCCTGAACCCCAAACCCTAAACCCCAAACCCCAAACCCTAAACCCCAAACCCTAAACCCCAAGCTAAAACCCCAAGCCCTAAACCCCAAACCCTACACCCTAAACCCCAAACCCTAAACCCTAAACCCCAAACCCTCAACCCCAAGCCCTAAAACCCCAAGCCCTAGAGATTCGAAGGCTCGGGGGCTCCCGGCTTCGTCCGGCATGACGCTCAACGAAAACTCAGCCTCGGTCAGATGAAGCCGGGTCATGCGGGCGTGAAGGAACGCCACTGAGGGTTCAGTTTTTGTTGGTTTAGGGTTTAGGGTTTAGGGTTTAGGGTTTAGGGTTTAGGGTTTAGGGTTTAGGGTTTAGGGTTTAGGGTTTCGGGTTTAGAGTTTCGGGTTTAGGGGTTCGGGGTTAGGGTTTATGGGACAGCAGGGTGTATGGGACATTGTGGTCTGGGTTAAGGCTTAACTCCATCATAGCAGCGCTGTACACCAGACACATTGAAGCCTCAGTCGGGGGGACGAGTCAGGAAGGCCTTTTGGTTGAACCCCAAAACCCTAAGTCTTCTACTCATACCCAAAACCCTAAAGCCTAACTTTGGTTTATGGGGTTTGGGGAGGGATCCCTTGTACTAACACCCAAAACCCTAAACCCTAACTTTGGTTTATGGGGTTTGGGGAGGGATCCGCTGGTTCTCAAGGGCGGCAGGGGCAGACTTTGGGCGAACCCCCAGTCGTCCCAACCCTGAGACCCTAAACTCTCAACCAAACCATCCAAACCTAAGACCCTTAGGCCCTAAGACCTTAACCCCAAAACCCTAAAACCCCAAAACCCAAAAAACCCAAAACTCAACCTTAAAGCCCTAAACCCCTTAAACCCCACAAACCCGAAACCCCAAAACCCTCAACAACGTTAAACCCTAGAGCCCTAAGTTGACTGCACGGGGTTTGGCGAGTCATGTTGACGGCACAGGTAATGCTATGTAGGTGTATGATCAATTTATCTTTTATTCTTCTTCTTATGAGTAGATGCTATTCTTCACACTACAAATAAATACTACTATTAGTATTCAGAATGACTGTTGTCATATCTTAAACTTTAGTTCTGAAGGGACTTACTCCTCAAGCTATTAAAGCTTCGGGCGGTAGGGCTTCGGTGGTGGTGCTCTAAGGGTAACTATATGGCCCCTGGATATGGACCCTTAAAAGAGGACCCCCTTTCTACCCCCTTACATACCCTATACAAGGGGCCCACACATCAGAACCCTCTGAAGGAGGGTAAGGGACCACATGAAGGGCCCATGAAACCACCCTAAACCCTAAACCCTAAACCCCTGAGGCCGGGAAGACATGACCAGAACCCTCACCAGTGGAAGCCGCAAGCTCGTCAAAAAAGGCTCTAAGCCCAAAACCCAAAACCCCAAACCCTGAACCCTAAACCCTGAACCGTAGACCCTAAACCCTAAATTATAAGCCCTAAACCCTAAGCCTAACGGCAAGCGCAGCTCCTTTTCTATGCGCGACTTCACGAAGCAGGGTGATTGAAAGGAAGCCCCTAAACCCATAAACCCGTAAACCCATAAACCAATAACCCAATAAACCCGTAAATTTACAGAAAGTAACCCTAAACCCTAAACCCTAAACCTTAAACCCTAAACCGCGCCCGCTGAGAGAGAGAGAGAGAGAGAGCGACTGGGCTGCACTTAGGAGGGTAGCTATAAACTAAATTTTTAGCTGCTTGCTAGGAAACCCAATAAACCCAAACTGGCAAAGGATCTCAAGTTACAGTAAGGCACCACAGGGGAGAGAGAGCGAGAGGGAGAGACAGACAGTATCCTGCCACCCAAAGCCTTGAGGGCTTCCCCACACCGAAGCCCTAGCACACAAAGCGCCCTAGGGTTTAGGGTTTGGGGTTTAGGGTTCAGGGTTCAGGGTTTAGGGCTTAGGCTCATGGAAGGCAAACCTAGCGCAAGAACAACGGTGATGAGGCACTGCCCTAGGTTTCTCAGAGTCCAAGGAAAGAACCGCGCCGCTCCCGTCTCAATCCCATGCACGCCTTGCTGGTCTGACTCTCATTGGGGTCTACGCTGGCGCTATGCTGGCAGCACGGGCTTCAACTTAAACTTCAGAGGTTTTGGAGGGTTCTGGGTTTGGGGCCTCCCTGAACCCTAAAACCGTCTTTGGGGGGTTCCTTGACCCAGGATTACAGAACTTTTGGGCCTCGTAACAAGTACCCAGGTTGGGAAATGCACAAAATGCTACAAAGGTCTATGACCCGAAACCCGATACCCTGAACCCTAAACCCTAAACCACAACCCTAAACCCTAAACCCCGAGGGAGGGAGTAGGGAGACTCCAAACCCCCACCCCTAGCCCCTAACCCCAAAACCCTAAACCCTGAACCCCAAAGCCTAAACCCTAGCCCCAAACCCTGAACCCTAAACCCTACGCCCTAACCCTAAACCCTAAAACCTAAACGGAACCACGGGCATGTCAACTCCCACACCATCCACTCACAGACCCCGCCGCTGTTTGCGAGAGAGTCCTGGGAAGTGTTGGGTGGTTTAGGGTTTCGGGCTTAGGGTTTAGGGTTTGGGGTTAGGGCTTAGGGTTTAGGGTTTAGGGTTTCGGGCTTAGGGTTTAGGGTTTGGGGTTAGGGCTTAGGGCTTAGGGGTTAGGATTTAGGGTTAAGGTCTCGTGTTTCGAGTTCAGGATGTAGGGTTTAGGGTTTAGGGTTTAGGGTTTAGGGTTTAGGGTTTAGGGTTTAGGGTTTAGGGTTTAGGGCTTGGGCTTCAGGTTTCAGGGCTTAGGGGTTCTGGTTTAGGGGTGTGGGGTTGAGAAGTGTAGGGTTGAGGGGCGCATTATATATATATATATATGTTTATTTATTTATTTATGTATTTCTTTATTTTTTATGTATTATTCTTCTCATAGTTCTTGGTATTCTTCTTCTTCTTGTAATGAGTATACATGTGAAGGCAAGCTTGCATTACTTCTTCGCCAGGCCCCAAGCTCGAAGCTCCCTCTGCTTACGTAGGGGGTTGCCCCAATTTCCTACAGCGGGAGGCCCTGCCATTCTACCATGCACATTTGTTCAGGGAGTTGACACCTCTATTGTAGCATTTTGGAGGGGGGGGGGGGGGGAGGAAGATCGTGGTTCAGGGACTTCTAAGCTGAGCTCTCTGCACTGCTTATCTGAGACGGCCAGGGTTCAGAATTCTTGAGCACAGAAGAGAGTGGCATGGTAATTTCCCGAAGCTCTCTTTGGACTCAGGGTTCTTGAGTGTCGGGGCCCTTTTTTGGGGATCCAACCCCACCACCTTCTTCCCTTCAAAAACTTCAGAAAGCTCCTAGAAGTTGGGGACCAGCTACCTGATAGCCGTACACAAGCCCGGCATGAGTGCCCAAAGTTGGGATCGTAGGAACTGCGAGGAGCGGCCTTAAATTTTGGGGTTTAGGGTTGAGGGTTCAATTTGTGCAGTAGTCCTTTTTGTTTCGAGTACCTACTTGGCATCTTCTTAGGTACGGGGAAGCAAATAGGAAATTTGGCCCAGGTTGTGGGGGAGGGTTGGGGTTTAGGGGCTTTCTGCTATCCACCTCACGCTGGCTCTTTTTGGCAGGCTTCCTAAGAATCCTACGATAGGAGGGCTGTTACTGACATATCACGCAGATCCTAGGTAAAAAGAAAAAACAAGGGTTTTGGAGTCAAGATGTTTAAATTTTAAAGCTTGATTTAGCGGAGCCGCTGGCGCTGCTGCCTCTGCCTAAACCCTAAACCCCTAAATCCCCAAACCCTAAAAAATAAAACCCCAGCTCCCTCAACTCCAAAACAGTTTGAAGGCCGACAGTCTTGGGCACCCTGAAACGGCCTTTCCTAGAAAAGGGATCCCTCACAAAACGCTTGTCCTTGCCATGGAACCCCCAAAAGGGTACAATGAAGAACCCCGCGCTCCCAAATCCCCTATGAAGAGCCCCACAGACCTCCTCCACTCCCAACCGCCCCCTACAGCTCTGTAAGCACTAGTAAGCACTTGTACGCCGAGATCTTCCTCGCTCTTCATAGGGGATTCGGCACCTAAAAAATCTACCATTGCGGGAGTATGCAGGGTACCTACGCCCCTAAAACCCTAAACCCTGAACCGCCGTCAGGGGCTTCCCCAAGGAACCTTCAAAAGCTTCAGGGCGAAATTGTTTAGAGGGTATGTAGGGTTTAGAAGTTTAGATGGCTTAGAGGGTTTGGAGGGTTTACATGGCGCGAAGGGGTTTATGTGGCTCGGAGAGGGTTTAGTTATCGGGTTTACAGGGAACCCTAAACCCTAAACCCTAAACCCTAAACCCTAAACCCTAAACCCTAAACCCTAAACCCTAAACCCTCGCCACCCCCCCCCCCCTTTTTTCGTTCAAGGCTTATAGAGCTATGGCGTCGTCCTGCTCCACAGGCCACCTGGGTAGCTGGGCCACATCGACTTTCTGGCCCCTTTGGAGTGCCCAGAGCTTCATGCCGGGGGCAGTCGCCGGGGCTTGCGCTTGGGGTTTAGGGTTTAGGGTTTAGGGTTTAGGGTTCCAGGGTTCCAGGGTTCCAGGGTTCCAGGGTTCCAGGGTTCCAGGATTCCAGGGTTCAGGGTTGTGAAGGGTAGTTTCTGTATAGGGAACGGTCTTCGTTTTATGGTCTAAGGTAAGGGCTTCAACTGAGAAAGAGAGAGAGAGAGAGAGAGGGAGAGAGTAGAGGGGTTATTGTTATTTTATTGCAGGTGGTGATTTTGAAATCTCCTGCGATAAGATCCTTAGGTAACCTAGACGAACACGTAGGTTTGGAGTTGCTACAGGGAAGGTTTCCACATCCTAAACCCTAAACTCAGGTAAGGTTTTCACCAGCAGTTGCCTTGAGAAGCACTCCAGGACGGCAAAGCAAAGATAACACTGGCCGGGCTTGCAGGGAACTTCTGGGTGAAGTGTTCCCACCGACCCCTTTAGGGATTAGGTTTTGGATTTAGGGTTTAGGCTTTAGGGAAACCCCTACTATTGCTGTGAGAGCCCTAAACCGCCCTAAAATCCGTGCGAGTACCCTCCTGAACTTCGAACAACCTCGGCATTGAGCCCAACGCATCAGCCAACCTTCTCATCGTGCTAAACCCTAAACCCTAAACCCTAAACCGTAAACCGTAAACCCTAAACCCTAACCCTAAACCCTTAACCTTAAACCCTAAACCCTAACCCTAAACCACCAGTCCATCTTCTCCCTGCGCCCCCGACGGCAAGAGCCCCACGCAAGGCAACTCGCCAATGAGCTGAGTTCAAATTGTGCCTCAGGTTACTTTACTTTAACTGTCTGGGTCTTCTGTCCTGTCTTATAAAAAATGAGCAAACCTTGACCTGCACCTACGCCTGTGCACAACACTTCAACGTAATAAGGATCTCAGGTGTCGAAGCCTCTGAGGGAGCGTGAAACGCTGGAAACGCTACGCCGGGGCATCCCCTTCGATGCTCACAGGCGCCCTCCTCTGCTCGACTCGTAGCGGCCTCTGTCTCTGCTGTCCTCTCGGCGTCGGTCATCGTGGCGATCATCGCGTCGCCGGTCATCGCGGCGGTCGTCGTAGCTATGCCTGTCATCCCGCCGGTCATCACGCCGGTCATCCCGCCGGTCATCACGTCGGTCATCATGGCGACCTCGATCGTCATAACCCCGGTCATCCCGGCGCCGGTCGTCGTAGCGCTCTCGGTCTCTGGGCCGGTCGTCATAGATCATGGACCTACTGCCACCCCCCCCGCCGCGCGCGTTGCGCCGGCCGTTGCTGCGGCTGCGGCTCCGGCTGCTGCGCCGCGAGGTCTGGTTCAGCAGCTCCCGGCTGCCTCCGCCGCCCCCGCCGCCCTTGCGCTGCTTCTCCGCCATGAAGATGTCTCGACTCGTGTAGCCCTTGCGCTCATCCGCGGTGTTGTCCTGTTCTAAAAGGGGGGGGGGGGGGCGCTCTCAACCTAAGCCGCCCGGAGGAGAACAAGGCCTCCTATCTACACCCCTCTTCGCCAAGAACAGAAACCCTGAAGGTCCATGTGCCGAAATATACTTGGGCCCTACCAAGCTACGATATGGGAACCCTTTGAAGGCCCAAGTGTACCCTAAACCCTAAACCCTAAACCCTAAACCCTAAACCCTAAACCCTAAACCCTAAACCCTAAACCCCATAAACTCTAAACCCCTTATAGGGCGCTGAAGGAAGGACCGGAGCCCTACGTGTCCTTCCCTCTCGGCTTCCACCGGGCCTTGATAGCCACACCATCGATGAGCACCTGGGCTTCGGCTTGGGGCCCTAAACCCATGAAAGCCGCCATGAATACACCTCAAAGTTCACCGATTCCACCCTAAACCGTAAACCCTAAAGCCCTAAAGCCCTGAGCCCTAAGCCCTCAGCCCTCAGCCCTAAACCCTAAATCCGAAGCCCTAAACCCTAGCCCTAAACCCTAAACCCTAAACCCTAACCCCAAACCCTAAACCGTCATAGGATGCTCGCTCTCGGACGCGCAGCCTCCTGCCGGTCTATTGCATCCATGGCTTGCCGTGCGCCTGGAGCTTGCAGGGTTTAGGGTTTAGGGTTTAGGGTTTAGGGTTTAGGGTTTAGGGTTTAGGGTTTAAGGTTTAGGGTTTAGGGTTTAGGGTTTAAGGTTTGGGGTTTAGGGTTTGGGGTTTGGGGTTTAGGCTCTAGGGGTTGCGGTTTAGGGTTTAGGGTTAGGGTTTAGGGTTTAGGGTTTGGGTTTGGGGTTTGGGGTTTGGGGATTGGGGTTTGGGGTTTGGGGTTTAGGGCTTGGGGTTAAGGGTTTGGGGTTTAGGGTTTGGGGTTTAGGGTTTAGGAGCTTGGGGTTTAGAGTTTGGGGCTTAGAGTTTGGGTTTGGGGGGTTTAGAGAGGGTTTATGTTTAGGGGGCATAGGGTTTCGACGCAGTCTGCGGTTTGCACGGACTGATATTGGGTTTATCTAGGGCTATTTTTTTGTTTATCGAGATGTGGGGATATAGGGATCTAGGGCTTTTGGGCTTAGGGCTTGTAGGGCTTAGGGTTTCTGGGATTTAGGGCTTATATCGGGTTTTCCTAGGGTTTCTGGGGCGTGGTATAGAGACATGGGGTTTGAAGTGTCGGGCTTGTAGGATGAAGTGCCAAAAAGCGTGAAAGGTTTGCTTAGGGGCCCATCATTTTCGCCCCACTGTCAAACCCAGAACAAACTTGAGGCTTCTTGACCCTATGCCCTAAATGCGAAAAAAAGCCTCAGATTGTAGAACCCACGACCGAAGTCCAGGCAGAAAGATGGAAAGTTTCAACCCTAAACCCTAAACCCTAAACCCTAAACCCTAAACCCTAAACCCTAAACCCTAAACCCTAAACCCTAAACCCTAAACCCTTCAGTTGGGAGATGCAGTGGGGGTTACTTAAGAAGTGGAGCCCCAAACCGGGCGCCCGCCTGAAGCGTTGACAAAGCGTACCTTGGCTTGCAAGGAGGAAGGGTTTGGGCAGGGTTTAGGGTTTGGGGTTCAGGGTTCAGGGTTTAGGGTTTAGGGTTTAGGGTTTAGGGGTGCCAGAGACAGCAGCAAAGGTGCCCACGGAATATGTTGGACGGGATCGCCGACCTGACCGGGCAACGGGTCGCAAGGGTCTGGGCTGGGCCCGACTTGGAGGTTCAGGGTACTTCTACCCTAAGCCCTATAAACCCTAAACCCTAAACCCTAAACCCTATAACTGTACTTATAGGGTTTAGGGTTTAGGGCTTATGGTTTAGGGGTGAGGGTACTTCTTAGCCAATGAGGACTGTACTTATAATCTACCTTACCTATATGCCCCTTAATTGCACTAATGTGGTTTATAGGTACAGTTCTTATTGGGTTAATAAGTACAGGTACCATGAACCTCCAAGTAAGGCTACTGAGTGGGACCCCCGGTAAGGCCTTAGTATATGCCATATGGGTACATGGACCCTTAAGAGGATTAATAGAATTTGGGGCCTTCTGCTGCAGCGCCAGCCTTGAAGAACTACTAGACGGGCTTTGATCGGGCGTGTGCCCTAAACCCTAAACCCTAAAAACTAAAACCCTAAACCCCTAAACCCCTAAAAACCCTAAAGCCCTCAACCCTAAACCCCAAGTCCTGAACGGGTCCTAAAGCCCTCAACCCTAACCCCCAAGTCCTGCCCTAGAAGAGGCTGCTCCATCTCTCAGATTTCCGCGGCCCGAACATCCCCTGATCAAGCCCTGACCATGTTTTCATAGAAGGAAACCCTAAACCCTAACCCCTGAACCCTAAACACTAGTCCAAGACAAGCCCATCTAACCCTAATCCAAGACAAGCCCATCTAACCCGAATAGGTGGGCGCAGGGTGGAACATGGCCGCAAGGTGAGAACTTGAGAACGTGCCAAAGCCAATCGAGCAGGTTTTGGTATCTAGGTTGCCAAGTAACCTGAGATCCCGTTTTTGCTCACAGGGGCTAAGAAGGGAACCCTAACCCTAAACCCTAAAGGGTTTATAAGGGAACCTGAAACCCCCAAAAAAAGGGAATAGGGGGCACTTTTGGGGTTCCTAGGTATTTTGGGGTGGTTGGTGAGATACAGCCAGAGAACCTCACCACCACTCCCACAGAAAGAAAAAGAAATCCGAACCCCAAATCAATCCACCCCACCCCCATCCCCAGCCAGCCCCAACCCCAGCTCCATTGAACCCTAAACCCCCAAACCCCCGAACCCCCAAACCCTAAACCCCCAAACCCTAAACCCTAAACCCCAAAAACCGAAACCGCAGGAGCCTTGTGGCAAATGTCGATCTCTCCATATCGTTCCAACACAGACTTCAGTTGGAGGCGCTTCGTGCCGGCGTGAACCCCTCCAACGATCTCCTTTGCTTAGGGTTTAGGGTTTAGGGTTTAGGGTTTAGGGTTTAGGGTTTAGGGTTTAGGGTTTAGGGTTTAGGGTTTAGGGTTTAAGGTTTAAGGTTTAGGGTTTAGGGTTTAGGGTTTAGGGCATAGGGCTCAGGGTTTGGGGGTCAGGGTTCAGGGTGTAGGGGCTACACGCCCATGGTGCACTGGGGCTTAGTGTTATAGGGACTACGTGGTGCTTAGCGTCATGCTACCTGACCCCTAAGCCCCAGATGATCAAGCATTAAGGGCATGTTGGCTGGTTGAGGGTTATAGGCTACGGCATAAGAGTTGGGGTCTAGGGTTTCTGGAACGTGCACAATGTCTCGAATCCCTAGAGCCGAAGCGACCTTTTCTGCTTGCTTCTGGGAGTGCCTACTAAAAGCGTCTTATTTCTAGTTTAAGCGTTTAAATAGCTAATAATTAATAAGCGTTCTTTACTATCTATTTAGCGTATTTTGTTCTTTTACAGTGAGTCAGCTGATGTACCTGGACGAGTCGACACAGGTGCAGATCCTCTGACCCTGGAGAAGGTCGATTCCGCAAACCCTGACAACGGCAATGCTTCAACAGCCTTCAAGACCCTGGACCCTAATTACTAAACCCTGCACAAAAAACACACACACACAAACAAAAACCCTAAACCCGAAACCCGAAACCCGAAACCCGAAACCCGAAACCCGAAACCCGAAACCCTCAACCCTAACCCCTAAACCCTAACCCTAAACCCAAAAAAAGCCCGGGCGTCGATCGTGTCCATGGAAGACGTCATCGCCTCTCTGAGGGGGGCAAGCGGGGCGCCCCCACCCGGCCGCCCCCGGAACCACGCGGCTCGGATGCTACGCCCTGCTTGTTCCCTCCTCCCCTTCTTCCTAACAAGGCTCGGGCCGAGCAAAAACGGCGGAGGCATGAGAAACGATTTAGGGTTTAGGGAATACCCTAAACCCTAAACCCTAAACCCTGGAATTGCCCTTGCCTCACTCCCATAAGGCTTCCCTTTCAGGGCCATACCCAGCGAACTGAGGCGGGGCTTAGGAGGTCGCGGCCAGGAAGATCTAAACCACCTAAACCTCTAAACTCCAAACCGCAAAGCTTCCCAAAAACCGAAGTTCCCTAAGCCGCGAGGTTTCCCGAACAAA